AGCCCTACAGAGACAGCTGAGGGCAAAAGAGGCCCTCGTGATTGTCTCCAAAAAATGGACACCCAGCTAGACCTCCTTCCTGACACATCAGTGAGCACCCCAGAGCTGATGGGCAGGGGAGGAGTTGTGTTGAAAGTGCAGAGCCCTTCGGGATATGAACCCTAGTCTGGATTTTGATAGCCCTCAGCACAGCTTTGCCCAGGCAAGCTGCCCCCAGCCATTGCAGATTAGCAGGCTCTGCATCCTGGCCATGCTTTAATGTACTCTTGCTCTCCACAGACCTTTTTACAGCTTTTCCTAGGTAGCTGTTAAATAAGGTCTCAGATTCTAGTCTGCATGTTGTCCACGCAAGCCATGTCTGCTTTTTCTGTGTTATTTCTTTACAGTTCACCTGGTATAACCAAAAGCCAACTGCATTTCATTGCATTGATAACAAGATTGATGGTTGGACTGATGATTTTAGAGATCTTTTCCAACCTTAACGATTCCTAGTTTTTACTTTCATTAAAAAAAAATATCCAGCCACCAAGCCAGGAAACATGAAATTATTACTCTACCCTGAATTGGCTTAGTGGTGGACTTGGTAGTGTTAGGTTAACGGTTGGACTGGATGATCTTAAAAGTCTTTTCCAACCTAAATGATTCTATGATTCTTGCAATCCTATGTCTTGCTCAGCATCGTCCTAGACAGGAGAGCCACAGGAATTAATTTCTGAGCAAAAGGAGAGAACTTAAAACTTCTTATTAGAGGATGTGGAGGACCCTGACAGCACTGCTTAAGAAAGTAAACCAGCTCAGAAGAGGAGCCTTGTCAGGTAGATTTACAGTGGCTGCTAGGTCGTACAAAGTTAAACTCACCTAGAAGATGCTACTCCCTGCGACAGAGCAGAGGAACTATGAAGTGTATGGGGAGGAGCACAGCGGGGGGGGGTCCATCGGCCCCCAGACCGCTTTTGGGGCATGTGGGTACGCAGGGGTGGCACTCCTCCCAGGAGGGTGGCAGGGGCACCCACCATCAGAGCATGCCTCTGGAGAGGTGGAAGGGGGAAGGCTAAACCCAGGCACTGCTGGAGACTCTCAGGCCCTCCTTGGCTTTCAGCATTTAATACATTTCACAAAGGGCTTCCTTAGCAGCTTAAAGCAGTGGATTATTTTCTGGCTTGTGAGTTGCTTTGGGCTGATCGTACAGGAAAGCGAGGCCAAGTGCAACTCATGTTCTGTGTTTCACCAAGAAGTGGAATCTTCACCCACAGTCTGGTGAGCAGAACTTTGGGGAGCAGCAATTAACCTGTGATGTCCCCCAGAGAGGCAAAGAGAGAGCTGAAAGGCACTAAAACTCAGTCCTGCCATCTCCTTCTGCTGTGGTTTTGGAAAGGTGATACAAGGATGCAACACCTCCCTGTGGAGCTGGACATGTAGAAAGGTTTTTTGGTCTTTAGGTTGGGTGAAGGAGACAGAAATAACGATGTCATTTTCAAATTTCACTTTCCTACCACGTAATAACTGGAGCAGCCTAACCCCTGACTTCTTCCTGCATTCTCCCTAGAAATGCAGTTTTCTGAGATTTCTAGTGCCAGGTTCAAGAAGGGAGGGAGGTGGCTTTGGCTCACTGGCTTTCTTTGTGCCATCGCAAGCCCCTTTTCCACTCTGCTTGGGGTCAAACAGACTCCAGTTGCCATCTTACAGATAGTCCTTCCCTCACAAAGCCTCTGGGATTGAGAAGACGTGGCACTGGCGTGTACTGCGACCACAAGGCCAGTGGCATTGGTGTTTGTAATCAACAGAGTGGGACGGTCTGTGTCTTTGTTCACATTACCATGTTCTGGGCTTTCTAATACAGGTCAAAACAACTATCACATCCTGGAGCAAATGAAATGCCAGTGAGCACTTCGCCCTTGTAAAAGCTTTATTTTCTTAAGCGTAAGATGTCCAATACCTCAGCTGAAGTCATACCTGGCTTTTTTGCAGTTGGCTGCTTGGATATCATAGGAAGGTAAGAAAGTAGATGCTGAAAAGGCAGCTCAAATTAGCATTAAAACCAGTCACATGGAAAATGCCTTTAAATACTGAATAAGACAGAGAAAAAAAAGGCTGTCAAAGTCAGAGATACCCACACAAGCTAAAAACATTCTTAGGGCACGTGTGACACACTGCAAAAGCCTGCAGGTCAGCAGTCCAGCAGTCTAACATGACTTCTCTGCAGTCTACCCAATCAAATCAACCACTTTGTTGGAGGCAAATCCACCTGAAAAATTAAAGCTGGAGACAAGTAGAGTGGCTGAGCTCCCAAAAAGTGAAGCATTTCCAAGTACAATTTGCAAGACTTCTGCCAAGTGCTCACATCTTTGTTGCCCATGGGCTTATTATTATTATTGTTCATGTGATGTGGCTTTCTGTCTGATCTGTGGTCTTCTAACAATACTTCTACCACTTCTCAATGTCATCGTCCACTCTTTGGAGGAGGAATTGCCTGGGTTTTGTTCTTTCGGGAAGATAAAGGAGGGAAGTTAGCAAATTAAAATGTGTTAATGCAGGCTTCCCTTTTTAGCACCTTTTTAAGACCAGTCCCAGTTCTTCCCTAAGTGTTTTATTATTATTTAACCCAGAAGACTGGAAATGAAGCCTCAGACCAGCTAGAATTCCTCCTCCTCCTGCTGCTGCTGAAAAAAGACCTCAGAAACCATCTGTAGGCCTCTAAAGATAGATATTTTTCTCTCGTATCAGAGCTGTTGGATCAGCCTTTTCTTTATTCCCAGGGCAAACGTTACTTCTATGTGTACAAGCCTGGCTGAGGAAGCTCTTAAGCACCTTGTTCTGCTCTAAGGACATGAGATAACCTTTCTTTGCCACCTCCCAATCTCCACAACTCTCCAGGATGTGTTGGGGAGTGGAGCAATACACCTACACTGAATCTTTTAATACAGATGGCTGGTAAGTCAGGTTTCAGTGTACACTTCCCAAAAATCATATCGCTTTTGGGTGAGTCACATCAGCAATGTTACCCTTCCCTTTGCATTTGGACTCCTACATATGCCACGGTTTACTGTGCAGCCAGAGTTCATTTGCAGAAGGCATCAACATCATGGTCTTGGGTCACAGAGAACTAAATTGACAGGGTTTTTTTAATTGTTACAATCATACTTACCCGCATGGATGCTTTGTGGAGTGCATGAAGTGTGCATTGGGTCTATTTGAGAGGCTTTGTGCTTCTTCCATGTCTGATTATCTCTCACGCCCCCTCAAAATGCTCTATCTGAAAAGCTCTGGAAGTTCACTTGCCACTATCATTTTAAATAAAGACAACAAGAAGTTTTGTTTTGTTTTGTCCTCTCTTTACCTACCTTCCCAGTTCTATCTGACATTAAAATAAAACCTAGGTGGCAGCAGAGAAAAATTCTGACTTGACTCCCTCAACTAGAATACATACAGTTTTACGCCAACTATTCAAGGAATTACAGGGCCAATAGCAGCAACGTCATTAGGAAAAAACCAGAGTATTTTAATACCATTAATTTATTTAACATCAGCTTTTACCTTTACGTCAGTTGCAGCAAGCTTAACTTTTTTAGAAATTCCTGTTTTCTTCTCAGGGATGATAATGCGTTGCACATAAAACATTACCCTATTTGGAGGTGCAACATTAGTCAGCTGACAGTTGAAGAGGGGAAGGCCCCAAGACTGCAGTTACTGAAACACAGACATCTGAGTGGGAATGGAATGGGTATTCTTTACTGAGAACATGTCAACCGAGAGAGGGAGCAGCAGAAATGAAATGAGATACAAAGCGGGAGTTCAACAGAGAAAGAGGTATGCCTCTTCAGCTTCGGATTCAAGTGTTAGCTCAATCTTTGTATAAAGGGTATGACATATCATTTCTTAGAAGGTATCTTCTTTCTTTCCCGGACTAGAATACTTGCTGGTTTTTTTGCTTTGTGTTGCAAAAGTAGTAATGTCATATACTAATGTCCTGGAAATAAAACTTGAAGATTATTCAACAAAGACTCACGTAATAGCAAAGGCTTGAGTAATTCATATTAAAAAATATTTAATTTTCAGATGTTCATTATATGTGTTAAATTCTTGGTTACAGCAAAAAGATTGTAACATACAGCATCACAGTGACATATAATCAAGCCATAACAGTGCAGTTTATTACAACTGTGTAAACAAAAATAAGTATTTCTGTAATGGCACTCTTCATGAACCAAATTCTGGCATACAGAATCTCAGCAGAAGTCAAAAGAAACATTTACAAAGAAAAGGAAACCCCAAACTGAAGCACAGTATAAGAACCTGGCCAAAATGGACCAATCCACATTTCATAAGAGAAAAAAGTGTCCTCGGAATTTTTGCTTGCTCGCTTTTAAGGAAGTTCAATCTAAATTTTTTCAAGGCATCAGTCCAGGACGTGAAATATTTTTACTATTATTGAATGATATGAACGAAGACTAAACATCTCCTAATTACGACCATATGAATACCTCCTACTGTGACATTATTAAAAGAGATAAGAGATGATTTGGGAATGTTCTTGTCTGTATAGCATGACACCTGCAGAAGATATTCCCTAGGAAATAAAAATAAGTTATTGAGAAATAAAATCCAACGTGCTCCATCAAAGAAACTTTCTTTGTGCATAAGTATCTAAGAGAAAAGGCAGTATCCTACTTTCCTGTAAGAGAAGTAAACGATTTGATTATAAGACAATGTACATACTGTAAACTGTAAAATGGGGGTTCAACTTGAAATACACTCATCTCAAATAGATTTTAAATATTAGCACCTAAAATGTAACACTAGGATTTAAAAATTTTTAGTAGCTTTCAGGTCATGCATTAGTTATAGCTTGCTTGACAGATACAATTTTGCCAGCAGCGTTTTAGTGTTCCGTGAGATCCTCTTAATAAAAACATACAGGTCTGAATTCCACTACATTTTACACACGTACCTTTCATACAGGAAGTTTTGCATATGTTCCATCTGCAGAGAGCAGGCCCCACAGTAGCAGGAGGTATAGATAGAGCAAAGAAGTTACAGTTGTTAAAACATACTGGAAAACTGGGAGTACGTGATATAATTACAAGCTGGTATCTTCAGTTTACAGAAAGCTATAAATTTGCCTGTTTAAAAAGAGACATCCAACATGTGCTTACTCACATGCTGACACAGAGTTCATGCAAACTATTAAAAAAAACCTTATAAATTTTACCCTTCAGAAATGCTGCATATACTTCATCCTCAAAGAAACTGAAGCCCCCTCAGAAACAACAGGGACCTAATGTGCAGATCGACTCAAGCAACATGTAATTGCTTCCTCTGTAATGAGAAGTGAACTGCAGTATCAAACAGGAAATTTCATTGAATTGTACTTCATTTCAAACACTGTTAAGTCCAAATCCAGGTTCACTTGTCATTAAGCAATAAGACTACCTTTAAAAAAAAGTTATTTTCTTGGAGGAAGGACATTTTCTTCATAATAGCCTGGATTTACTACATTTCCAGCTGGATCGTATCTAGCCACCACAAACGTTGAGCCATCACTAGCAGATGCTTTTCCAACCCCCATCTTTTTTGTATTCTTCCAAACCATTGCTGTGAAGTGACCTGAAGAAAGAGAGATAAACATGTGTATTCATTTTAGGTACTAAACTTATAACATTCCCTTTAACACATGGCGGGGGCAGGGGCGGGGAAGAACAGTACAAAACTGTTTCTTTCTCTAACAGGAGAATAAGGTAAGGACATGAAAAGAAAACTACATCTAGCATTTTGTCTTGAAAAAGCCTGATCTGATCTGGTTCCACACTACTATTCCCATTTCCATGTCCTGTATCCAAACAAGAATACCTAGTATAAGAATCACGAAAGAAGTAGTTTGATGAGTATCTGATATAAACAATCTGATTATCAATGATTTGGATGAGGGGATTGAGTGTGCCCTCAGTAAGTTTGCAGATGACACCTAGTTGGGTGGGAGTGTCGATCTGCTGGAGGGTAGGATGGCCCTGCAAAGGGGCCTGGACAGGCTGGATCGATGGGCCGAGGCCAACTGTATAAGGTTCAACAAGGCCAAGTGCCGGGTCCTGCACTTGGGTCACAACAACCCCATGCAACACTACAGGCTTGGGGAAGAGTGGCTGGAAAGCTGCCTGGCTGAAAAGGACCTGGGGGTGCTGGTCAACAGCCGGCTGAACATGAGCCAGCAGTGTGCCCAGGTGGCCAAGAAGGCCAACAGCATCCTGGCTGTGGTCAGGAATAGTGTGGCCAGCAGGACCAGGGAAGTGATTGTTCCCCTGTACCTGGCACTGGTGAGGCCACACCTGGAATACTGTGTCCAGTTTTGGGCCCTTCAGTACAAGAAGGACACTGAGTTGCTGGAGCGTGTCCAGAGAAGGGCAACGAAGCTGGTGAAGGGTCTGGAGCACAAGTCTGATGGGGAGCGGCTGAGGGAACTGGGATTATTTAGCCTAGAGAAGAGGAGGCTGAGGGGAGACCTTATCGCTCTCTACAACTACCTGAAAGGAGGTTGTAGTGAGGTGGGTGTTGGTCTCTTCTCCCAAGTAGTTAGCAATAGGACGAGAGGAAATGGCCTCAAGTTGCATCAGGGGAGATTTAGACTGGATATCAGGAAAAATTTCTTCACAGAAAGAGTGGTCAGACATTGGAACAGGCTGCCCAGAGAGGTGGTGGAGTCACCATCCCTGGAGGTGTTCACAAAACATGTAGATTTGGGACATGGTTTAGTACGAATGGTGGTGTTGGGTTGATGGTTGGACTGACAATCTTAGAGATCCTTTCCAACGTTAATGATTCCTAGTTTTTACTTTCATTAAAAAATAATCCAGCCACCAAGCCAGGAAACATGAAATTGCTGCTCTACCCTTAACTGGTTTAGTGGTGGACTTGGTAGTGTTAGGTTAATGGTTGGACTGGATGATCTTAAAGGTCTTTTCCAACCTAAACAATTCTATGATTCTGTGATAAAATTCAACAAAGAAATGATGGTCTTCACCCCCTGCAGTGTGAATAGCAGTTCTGACAGTGACAATTATTCATTTGCTTTGACCATCACATACTCCCCCATGTATCTGCATGTGCAATTATTCAAAATAACACTGGTTTTGTGGCTTCTTCTGCCTAGTTGTAATAGTCACCCCTGCATTGTGCTGCTCCATCAGTTGTACCCTCTATGCATAGATAGGCCCCATGGGAGAAAAGCATTATTTTCATCAGCTGAAAACAAGCCTGGGTGTATCTTTTGCTTAAGCATTATTCAAGGAACTATGTTCTTATGTTCATTCAACACCAGATTGTCTATATGCAGTCAATGGCCTGTGGCTGATCTCCAAATTATATCTGAAGTTATCTCTGTGATTGGAGTGATATAACTTGGTAGAAGACACATGTCAATGTAAACAACAGCTTAATACATTTAGTAAGACACCTATATGATTCCAATTTAGTATTTTCTACAAATTAATTTCCCTTAAAAATAAGTTGCCTTCAAAAAAATTGAGTCAGAGAAAAATCCAGTATTTTAAAAACACTACAAATGTTGCTTACTTCCTCATTTCTCAGTTTCCTTTTACCCTTTTGTGAGTTTCTGACATAAAACTTTGAGGAGATTCTAATAGTTTTTCCCTCTAATTTTTTTCCTAAGAAATAAAGGCAGTTTTTTGAAAAATACCAGAACAAGTTGGCTAGCCAATTTCTTAAAATAAAAGCTGTGTTGTTGAAGAAACAGTGCCCAGTCTGAACTTACCTGTCCCAGAAGAAAACCCTGGGTTTTGAAAGCTGTAATTTTTTATTTCACTGTACCATCTGTCAGCCACATCCTTTCCTGAAAGACAAAAGAAATCTGCTGTGGAATCATGACATAAACACAGAAGTGTAGCTAACTTATAGCCTGGCCAGCAAGATCTTCTGTTAATAGCTGTCAAGAACTTCGAGAAACATGGAGAAACAGTCTTTTTACTGGAGAGAGTTTTTGAAATGTAGCTAACATGGTAGTACATGTATAACTGACCAAATATTTATTGTTTTGCAATAGCTGTTGCTACTGAGTTACTAACTAGCCTGATGCTTTTTGTTAAGCATCTCATGCCATCAATGATTTGAGTTCTGCTCGACGCAAACACAGTCCATCGGTTCCTCCACTGGAGTGCCAGGGACTGCGTGGCCAGCACAGCCTGGCTCAAAGCCTGGGCACACAACCCATGAAACAGCTGTAGGAGCAGATAGAGTTCACCCTGTTCAGGGAAGATCTCTGCAGCAAGGTGCTCATCTGGTAGGACAAAGCTGATGAAGAGCGCTATACTATCACCAACAGATCAGGAAACAGGACCACCCACCAATTCTCACCCGTGGTTAAAACTTAATTAAAACATTGAAGTCAGAAAAAACTTTGGACAAGAGAGGTCTGTGTGGCACAGCATTTGGATTGAGTTGGGGCAGAAATCCCTTTAGTCCTCAAAGAAATCATCTGGCAATTTAACACACTGAGTTTACGTTCTTTTCTGCCCACAACCTTCTGTAACTTTCAGCCTAGAAGGTGGTAAAGACACATCTCCCGCACCTTGGATGAGTGCTCCTGTCATTAGGCTTCTACATACAGCTTTCAGCAGCTCCTCCCTCTTGGAATGTGTTTCAAAAGACTTAAGTGAGCCTTGCCAGATTTTCTGAGCAAAGGGAACAGTGACCTTTTCTACAGGGAGGCCTCCCACCTGTGGATGCAGGTGTATGAAGATAGCCCTTTACAGCTCCAAGCAAACCACAGAAAAATGACACTTCTGACATCCTCTAGTTTTCCATGTTCTCATCAGCATTTAATACTTCAATTTTCTGAGTGCATTTAATTTTAGTGGTTCTTACTTAGCACTTGAGCCATTGTGGATGTCCACTTTGAGGCATTCTAACTTGGGTACTAGAGTCAGACACCTCAAATATACATGCCAAGGAGCTGCTCTGTGTGGAAGTCCTTGTGTCCAGCACATTCATCAAAGGCTTTCACTGATCACAGCTGTAACAAGGACTATGACTATGTCCAGTGATGTAGCACTACGTGCCTGTAGATCTCTAAGGTTGATGTTTGCCAAAGAAATAATCCTTCCTTGTTTTCTGTTGAACAGTTAAGGAACCTGATAAAAAGGCGGAGATTCTGATAATCTGCAGTGGATCCAGTGGAACAGGCAGCACAGAGGGCAGGAGCTCAGACCAGAACTTGCAGATGCGATGTACTCAAAAGTCAAATGTTACTTCTTTTCCATTACTGGTTGTTAGGAAATTCTTGTGTCAAACACTGGGGGAGAAAAGGGGCAGGTTTTTCCCTGAGCTACAATGATAATGAAATTTCTGCTTAGCATTCCAGGAAGTATAACGCAAGGCCAGTTGATTTCATAGCAAGCTGCCAATGCTGTTAAGCCTACCATCATGAAGAACGCTGGTCCCTGATGGACTCTTGGCTGCAGAACAGCTATGACTCATGTTTTGCTATTTTGCAGAAAAAAGTCTTAAACTTGCACTGTTCTAAAAGTCAGTCACTGAACTGTTAACTCCTTGAAACTTCAGTTGCTTTATGAGTGCAGTCTGCCTAAAAGGGTGGCATCATTAGCCCGGCAAGCTGGCTGTCAGAGATGTCACTGAAAAGAAAATATTGAATGAAATGTCATCTCTTGAGAGGTTTGTGAACTGAAACTACTATGAACTTATCTATGCCACACTGCTTGTTAGGAATGGTGCTCTCTTAGTAGAGTCAATTTACATTTTCTACATAAAAAAGTAGCAAAAACTCTCTTGCTTCCCAAAGTAAATATTTCAGGAATAACAACAGGTTCCTTCTTTCCCTGCTCTTCCTGCACCAAAGAACAAACCGTGTAGACCTGTTTTACGGCTGAAGTCTGTAATGCAAATAAAATATCTGTTCATTGTTACTCACACTAAAGCTAAAATGAAGACTGAAAAACGTGTAAAGAGCAATCTTTATGCAATTCAAGGGGAAAAGAAAAAGCACATAGTAAAAAAAAAAAACCACCCAAACATCATCCTGTCCCACCCTAGACTTCAAAGCTCTGAAGGATTTAGATATGTTTGTGGCAAGCCGGGTGGAACAGAAGTACAGAATGTGACTGCAGACATGTCAGGTCTTATGAAGCACATGTATTTTGTGTGTACAAGTGCTTAAGTGACTATACTATGTAAGTAATATTTTTACAGATGTAGGACTGCATTCCCACTGCTGCCAGCACTTCATTCCCTCAATGAATATATCAGTGTGACATAGGATAAAGAGCAGTTTGAGAGAAACTCATCCCCACTCTGCTTACTGTAGCTCTAAGAAGTGTACCTCGGCTCCACGTGACAAGAACTTAAAATCTCCATAACGGAAATGTTGCAAGACACATGGAAGTTTTGACAAGCACAGTATCTCTTCATAATTTTCTTTTTTTTTTTTAATTTAAAGAATACCATCATATGAAAATTTTGTAACACTTTAGTTCAAAGGAGATGGCAATGGCATCAGGTAAGAATACCTCAAACCTGTACAGGAAAGACAACGGGCATAGCTGGGTAGCACAATCTATGATGTGTTAATTCCCAGCCTTCAGGGGTGAAAGCTTGCAACTTACTGCAGCCAGGCAGTGAAAGCCTAGAAGCTGATAGCTGTGCTCCATTCATTCATGTGCAGGATCAGGTTATCATTACATGGCATTGCTGTCATCCTCCTTGAATGAAAAGAGTCATTGCATCATAGGCTGCGAGAAATTAAAGACTGACTTATTCCCGGCGAAAGAGAAGGTGACCAATGGCCTAGGCAACTTTTGACAGACTCTGTCTTGAAATCATGTTGAAGAAGTGTCCTGGAAGTGAAGGGAATAAATTGTATCTGTCATATGCCGCAGGAGATGAGGCAGCTCCTACGTGGAAGTTATTACCATGCGAGAAGACAGGTAGGTACCTAGTGATTCAACACGCTCTCTTTCCCCTGAAGTACTTTTCTTCTTTGCCCCTTGGGGAGCCGTAAACAATGCAGTGGTGGGACACAAGCCAAACCAGTGTTGAAAGTGACAGCTGATACACAGGGGACTGAGGGAAAATTCTGGTTTGAGCCCAGTGAACCCCGGGCTTCCCAGGGCCTACAGAAAACAACCCGAGAGAGAACAGCAGAGGGGTCAGCAGAGCACTGTGCCTACCTGCTTTGGCTGCGACTTGCATGCTCAGACTTGCTGGTTCAGAGAACTGACCACAGTATTTCAATTTCAAATTATTACGGAATAAGTGATGCAGTTATACTTAGTGTCCATTTCCCTTGCATTTGAATGTTTCACTGAAAACAGTGCCCACTCCCCAAAAAGCCTCCCTCCCCGCAAACCAGGGGTTGGTTATTGTTCAAAATGCATTTCAATCAGAAGGAAAGAAATCTCACTCTCACCCTTCATTTCTGATTACAGCAGAAATGACTGAAGTTTAATCCTATCAAAAAGCATGCGGATCTGTCCTACAGTCAGTGCTGCAGCTTCTCTTCTGTTGCACCCCTTGCAGAACCAGTTAGTAGGTTGCTATTTTTTTTAAAATATCCTTCCTGTTTGCATTGCTGTAAAACACATTCACAGTTTCAACACCTTCTCTATGGAAACACAGTTTGACGCCACACTGCTCCTAGCAATAGCTGACTGATGACCTGCTCAGTTAGACTTACTAGATGTTCATTTCAGACCAGGCTGAATCTTGCTCTAACGTGTTTCATCAGTACCATGACTCTCTGGACGTACCTACTTTACACAAAAGCTTGGTAAAACAATCCTTGAATTAGTACCCATGTGTAGTTCTGGCCAAGACTAGGTCCAGAATCAGCGTAGTGATTTTATTTTATTTACCCAAGCCACGAGCTAGTAACATGGACACACTGACTGTGCCTCAAGCTGCCTCATGTGGTCAGAGGATTGACCATATGAAGTCAGTCCATACATAGGACTAACAGTCCTGGTGTGAAGTTCTTCTGCTGACACCACTATCTGAAAGGTAGAGAGATAAAAAGGGGCCACTGCATGTAAACAGGTGTCAGTACTCTTGCCTGGCTGTGCCTTGCATCTCATCAGTTGTCCTGTTGTTTCATTAAATTTAATTTCTAACTATTCTCCTGTGTGAGGAGCTCTGTTCTGTGTGGATGGGGGGTGGGGGGAGGCTGAGTGCCAACAACTGATATCAGACCAAGGGTTGCAGGGACCTGGGTGTCTGTGGTGCCAGCAACTGGAGCAGTAGCGCGAATGCGTGAGTGCTACCAAAGCGCAAGCTGGGCTAGCTGGCAAGCAGGTGAAGTGGTCTGGGAGGAGTCACTACAGAAGCATATGGCCACCGCAGGGACAAGGGGGGGGGTCCTGGCCGATGGCCAGGGAGTTGCGTGTGCATGAGATGTGCTGTACCAGCAACCGGAGTGGAAATGCAGCCTCAGGGGTTTGTACGTCCAGGTGCCAGCAGCTGGGGACACTGGGATAGAGGGGCAGCTACTGGGCAGACTGAGTGTCTGAGCCCAGATGCTGCAAGGATTCACACTGGAATTTTACTTCCATTACTGAAATATCTATATTAGATATATTATTTTATGTTA